TGGGTGGAGCGTTTCTCTCCCTCAGAGATGCATCTGGGGGCCAGAGCAGGGAGTGTGGGGTCCTGGGGGGAGGAGGGGGCGTGTGTGAGGTCGTTCGGTCCCTGGGGACGGTGAGAGAGGGACTTACTCCTGTGGTTTCAGTAACAAAGCTCGGGGTGTCGTCAGAGTCCCACACGCTGCAAGTGATCCTGGGCTGTGAGGTGCGAGAGGACAACAGCACCAGGGGCTTCTGGAAGTACGGCTATGACGGGCAGAACTACCTTGAATTCCGCCCTGAGACGCTGGACTGGAGGGCTGCAGAGCCCAGGGCCTGGGCCACCAAGCTGGAGTGGGAAGTGAGCGCGATTCGGGCCAAACAGAACAGGGCCTACCTGGAGAGGGACTGTCCCATGCAGCTGCAGAGTTTGCTGGCGCTGGGGACAGGGGTTCTGGACCGGCAAGGTATGGCGGGAGCACCCCCCCCCCACTCATGCCCGAGGGGAACGCGGGGCGAGGTCCGGGGCTCGGGCCTCAGAGGTGGCCAGGGTCCTGTGACTCTCCGGGAAGGACCCGAGGTCCGAGGTCTCCCCCTTAGAACCAAGGTGTCTGACGGCCAAGGGTCACGGCTTGCGTTTTTCCCTCCGTGCACGCAGCCGGAGAAGCAGTATCTGTGACCTTGTGATGTAACCAAGAACCCTGTGTATATTTACACCTTTTAGGAACTCAGCGATGTCAATTGTCTCATGAATGCCAGGTCACAAGAGTACCCACCGGCGGTGGGGGGCACCAATCAGAGAAACAGGATCCTTTGGAGGTTAAAGGTTACCGTCACAGATCTGGTCACAGAGCCCCAGAACCTAGAGATAGTCCCTGAAGCCTGGCTATCATCCAGGCCCTTCTTACAAGATTTCTTGTTGGGTTGGGTGAGGTGAATTGCCAGGAGTGGTTGTTCAACCCTCTCTGAGCCACATCCAGGGTAATTTTACCTGGTTCCGTGTAACACGCAGAAGATCCGAGCTGCCCGCGTGCACGCTCATGTGCAGGCCAGGCGGACAGACTCGGCTGCCGTCCCCGTGGCGCCACGTCAGGGCCGAGCCCCGCAGCGAGCTCTAGGACACAGAATGGCGTCTCTCCGGCAGCCCGCCCCGTCTGAATAGGGCGTCTTGTCCCTCTAACCCCTAGAGGAGGGAAGTGAAAGCTCCAGTCTTCCTGACAAGGGTGGAAAGATCCCCTCTCCAGATCCTTCCTCCTTCCTGTCCAGTGCCTCCCTTGCTGAAGGTGACTCATCATGTGGCCTCTGCAGTGACCACTCTACGGTGTCAGGCTCTGAATTTCTACCCCCAGAACATCACCATGAGGTGGCTGAAGGACAGGCGGCCGCTGGAGGCCAAGGACGTTGAGCCTCAGGACGTGCTGCCCAACGGGGACGGGACCTACCAGGGCTGGTTGGCCGTGGCCGTGCCTCCCGGGGAAGAGCACAGATACACCTGCCTGGTGGAGCACCCGGGGCTAAACCAGCCCCTCGCTGCCACGTGGGGTACGGACGAGAGGGGCGGGCCGAGGGGCTCTGTCGTGGGTGGAACCCGAGCGCTAGCCCGCGGGGAGGGGGGTCTGCGGCGACCCTCACAGCTCCCTCTCGCCTTTGCTCTTTCAGAGCCATCGGTGCCCAGCACCCTGGTCATTGGAGCCATCAGTGGGATCGCTGTTTGTGTCATCCTCTTTGTTATTGGTGTTCTGTTCCGAATCTTCAGGAAAAGGCAGGCTTCGAGTGAGTAGGAAGAAGGAGGACGTCTCTTAGCACCTCGGACCCCAGGACACACGAATTCTGCAGGAAGCGGGGCTTTGGGAGGGCAAAGCGGATCTGGCACCCACGAGAAGCCTGTTCCTTTTTTTCCTTTGGGAGCACTGGTGCCTCCTTGGGAGCGGGAATGCGTGGTTTTCCTCAGAGTGGAAGGTGCAAATTCCACAAACTTCTTTTGAGCACCGGCTGTTTTGCAAGGTGCTGTTTAAGATAGTACAGGGGCTCTGGAGCTGAGGCCGTCACCTTGGTCATTCGGAGAACGAGGAAGGTGGGGGGGGGGTTCTGCACAGGTGGAACAGCCACGCAGCCCCC